TTGTAAAAAAAAAGCTGAAAAAATTGTTTTTCTTATCTTGACGAAGATTAGACGATGTTCAAAAACAATATACAATTATTCCTTTAATTCTTTTGCAAAACTTTGATCAATCGGTCCGAAAAAACAATTTGATGGATCGATTTAAAAATTAGCAGGGCTGTAGATAATACTTTAAGCTGTAAAAAAAAAAAACCTAAAAACATTAGTCGCCCCATCAATATTAGTGAATACGCGGTAGATTTACTAAAACAACGCAAAAACTTACTTTTTTCTCTTTTCTTTAAATCAATGTTAAAGGTGAAAAAAAATATTTTCCAAAAAATCATAAAAGGATCTTCTAAGAGATTTATTCCACTTTTTGACACTACCCTTATATTCCTAGTGTGGTCATTGGTTGATGAGATATCGATGATCAAAGACAAGAGCATTTAAAGTCAGATATCTCAGCGACAAATTGACGTAAAAAAAAAATATGAAGAAAGCATATTAAAGTAAACAAACATGCTATCTAGCCTATGCATTGACTTAACTAAAAAAAAATTCCTTACATCACGTCCGTGGATCAAAAACAAAAACATAAAAATTAAGATTTTTTTTTCTCGCGCTATTACTTAGAATTGCGTGATAACCAAAGCACAGAAAAAATATTTGCTAAAAGATCTCAAAACTAGAAGCTTCAAAATGGTTTTTTAAAATCTAGATACGACCATTTTTCGATGAGTTACAGCTTTTCAAAAATCATCAAAAAATTTAGGAAAATTTTTTGTTCCTTTAATTTTTTGGAGTAGTGTATAAAATCCTTTTTAATGAGCATAAAAAAAACACAATACAACCTTTGATTTTATTACAAATCAGGGGAAAAATATGATTTTTGTTAATATAATGAGGATTTAAATATCAACGCTTCTTTTTCACACAATTTGTATTTGAAAGAACAATTAATTGTTTTTACACCGTTTTTGTGATAATTGCCGCTTATAGGCACAAGAAGAGTACAGGACGTTGAAACACCGCAAACAAGTCGAATGGGCCGCTAGAGTTATTCAAAGACATTATATTCAATGGAAGGTATATTAAATTATCCCAAGTTGGGACCGCCTCGAAACTGTTATTTTTAGCGAAGACGATTTCTTCAATCATTTTGGAAATTATTACCGCCCGATGCCGACTCTCCCATTTGTAGAGAATGGCCATCTTGTTCTTCCAGATTAGCAGAATGTAATAATTTATTGAAAAAAATCCATCATCGTTGGCGTTGTGGTAAATATCGGCTTAAGTTTGATCAAACAGCGAGAAATCGTATGAGAGAAAAAGTTACCGCGAGTTTTATTTTCAAAGACAGGAAGTGTTCATATCCTAGAAGGTTTGTAATGACAAGAAATAATCCAAAAAACAAATTATACTTTTAGCGTTTCTCATCCATTTCTCGGGGATTACGTTCGGCTAAGGCAAAATATTCAATGGAAAAAAATCTGTTTAGAAAGTAACGACCAATATGTAGTTTTTGCTGACATTATTAATAAAATAGCGCGTTCTAGTGGCAAGGTATTTGAATATATTTACACAAGTTTTTATCAAAAACACAATTTTTTAGTTTGTGCCAATTCTTTTGGTTGTCTCGACACGATCGATGTTGATATTGGATCAGCGGACGTTGCAAATAAAATATCGTGTGCCTGCGACAGAGATCTACCGGATGTCTCTGTCACCGTTTCTCGATGACGTCGCCGTCGTCCACGTGCGTGCAGTAAGTCTTACTTACCTCCCTGTAGTATAGAATTAGAGTGCTAGAGGTAGTTTTGTTCCCAGTCATCGGTAGCCAACGCTGACAGCGCAAGTTCGAATTCCGATGCGACCGGTTGCTTATTTCAGAGCGACTTAAGTAAGAAAAAAGGCGATTTCGTGTTTCAAACCGGTCACGTGATTGAAGTCGTGACAAAATTATTCCTGGTTGTCCAAAACGCCACAGGCAAACCACCTGAAGTCAACATAACGACAGAGTAGGTATCTGTATGTAATAAAAAGGTGTAATGTAAAATTGTGGTAGGTTTGAAGCCAATTTCGGGTCGCAAACGGTGACTTTCACCTTCAAATGTATGGGATTGCCGGAAGTGCAACCTGGCCAAATCCGTGTTCTTCGCAAAGGCAACAAGATGGAAGTTCATGTGTGACATTTTGCCAAACATATCTTCGAGACCAGCATATTGATCACTGCCATTAGAGTTATTCGTTGCACAATAGATTGGGAGAATTGGATCTGTATTTGTTCCGTATACAGTGTTGACCAAAAATTGAATCCTAGCTTAGCGTGAGAATTTTAAAATTTGTGTTACGGCTGAAATTTTAAAGTACCTTTATATTGAACAATCATACATGACGAACTAGCTTACATATTAATAAACCCCATTGAGATGCAAGGTATAAGGATAGTTCGAAAATTCTTGTTAATAAATTACGTCTTGTATACAAGTTAAAGTAATTTTTTAAAGTTAGTCTTTTTGACTTTAGATGTTAGTTTCTCATGTTTTAATTATTTATAACGTACATTTCCTGTTGGTTTCTAACATAATGTAAAAATGTTGATAGTGTACATTATCTACATTTTCTCTAAGTTCTATAAATTATAAATCCAATAGCGATATGTTAATAAACAAGTTATATTTTTATCACAAATTTGTCTTCACTCCTTCTTTTCCTCTTCTTTCTTCTCTTCGGGAGCCACATCTCCATTCGTCTGACTCGTTGAAGCTTGTCTCAAATCATCTAAAACCCCTTTAGCCAATTCCCTCTCATTATACCTTTCACGCAAAGCCGAAAACAAGCAAAGTTGCGTCTCATATTCCCTTTTCAAATCACCATTATAGCGAATCATATGTTCCAATTTCTTGTGCATCAGATCATGACGTTCCTTTTCAGCCCCGACTCTATCTTCCATACATTGAATTTTTGATTCAAGTTGCTTGATTTCCAAATTTCTTATCTCCAACAAGTCTTTAGTGATGGTCACCACGTCTTTAAGTGATGCAATTTGTTGATTCAAAGCATCGATTTGCAACTCTTGATTCTTTATAACTTTGGTTTTGTCGAAAATAATTCCTTTCGCTCGTGTTAAAGTCTCTTCAGATTTGACTTTAATCGCATCAACTTCTTCCGCTTCTTTCAAATGTTGCGCTTTGAATTTCTGTGCTTCTGAGACTTCTTCTTCAAGCTGCACCAGGCGCTTTTTTAAGTCGGCCAAGTCGGTATCTTTTTGCTATAAAATATCGAATGTAAAAGAACGGTTTGTTAATTTTTTGCATACTTTTAATTCATTTTCTAATTGTGTTGTTCGTTCTGCATTGTTTTTAAAAGTTTCTTCATAACTAGCGAGTTTTTCAAGAAGGTTATCCCCATTTTGGACTGTATTTTGGTTACCCTAACAATTGAAATTGTAATTATTTACACAAAAATTATTAAAAGATTGTTACCTCACTGGGGGCTTGGTTAGTAGTTTGAGTTTCAATATTTTGAGACATATTTGGTAGTGTTGTAAAGTGCGTTGTAAACCGTGGAAAATTGGGAGGAAAGGACTTATTAATAGATTTCTAGGTGACTCGGAAGATTCGTTTTATTTTTAGAAAATGCATGGTAACTTTACAATTTTTAAATTTGCCGCCAGGCATAACCTCAAAATCAAAAGTAGATTTTAAAATCTGAATTTACAAATTATTTCTTGAAATTTAGCAGATAGAAGTAAAGATCAACACAGTTTAAGGACCCAGTCAACAAATAAGTATTAAATGGAAAATTTTGGAATGATGTTATGACATGCATTTCGATCTTTCGACCTCCAGTCAAATGTGAATGCGAATGCTTTCTAAAAAATCATTGAATTAATGTAAACAGTGACTGAAATAGCCAAAAATCGTCTAAAATTTTAATTCTCTACATTAGAGGTAAATGTTTACAAAAAATCAATCCCCAAGACAAAAATTTTCTGATGTAACCTTTATTATAATTTTTTAGGTTAGGTCACCTTTTGAATGGAGGAATACACTCGCGAACCTTGCCCATGGAGGATAGTCGACGACTGCGGAGGCGCCTTTACCATGGGCCTCATCGGGGGTGGCGTCTTCCAAAGTATTAAAGGCTTTCGCAATGCCCCTTCAGGTTTCAACAGACGACTCGTATGTTGTCCCTTACCCCCCCATTGATCCCGTTTAATTTCGAATTTTAGGTTGGCAGTTTGGCTGCAATTAAGCAACGGTCTCCCATAATCGCCGGTAATTTCGCCGTTTGGGGCGGCATGTTCTCAACCATTGATTGCGCCTTAATCCACATTAGGAAAAAGGAGGATCCGTGGAATTCTATCATAAGTGGGGCTGCGACTGGAGGTATCCTTGCAGCGAGAAATGGCATACCAGCTATGGCCGGGAGTGCTTTAATTGGCGGAGTTTTGTTAGCTTTAATTGAAGGAGTAGGGATTTTGTTCACCAGGTTATCAGCCGAGCAGTTTCAGCCACAGATGCCCCCAATGGAAGATCCATCTCAGTTGAGAGGGCAGCAAAATGGGGGCTTCTCGTTCCAGTAGTGTGCATGTGTGTATAGATAAATTTTTGTTGATTAAGGCGTAAATATAAGGTTTATTTTGATCTTTATTTTATTTATGTAATAGGTCAAATAAAGACTCCTATTGAAAACAGAAGATTTTATTTTTTAACTTAGATAACATGTAAATTTACAACTTAATTCAGTTTGAGACTTGGTTTCTGATTATCTTCAGGAAAGATACAAAACTTAGTTTACTTCCTATGTTTTATTTAAAATGTGTTATTTATACATCTTAGAATACGCCGTATGATTGAAAAAATTCAGATTTTTGACCACTCTATTTACTAATTAAGCTCAGGCATGACTCACGGATTTTATCTGAATTTTTTAATCAGTTATTTACAAACTTGACTGCTAGTTAATTTGTATAACTTACACGAAACCGGTGACGCTTCTAAATCAAACTATCCTTACATTTATAACAAAAACTGGGAAATTTATTATACATTGAACCCTATTTATAAAATGATGGAATTTTTGCACATAATGAACCTTATGCAATATTAACGCCATACAAAAGTATGAAAGAAAAACAAAATTTAATTTCATACATACAAGAATACACAAATTTGGGGTAGAAATAAATTAAATCAAATGTATACAACTTTTATACGAAATTAACGTTTACCATTATTAAAATTCAAACTTCTCAAAGGGGCCTTAAAAGTTGACGCTGCTTGTTGTTGCAATTGGTAAGCAAGTGGATGAATTTTAAAACCAAATAACCTAAAATCATTTGTTAGAAAAAAATTGTAAAAGAATGTGTTGAACTTACCTAGGAACAAATTGATTTGTTGGACGCTTTGGTCTGTACTCTGGGTGTACCATGAAAAGCATGTGAGGGAAACCTGTCCCAAAGTAAGCCCCATCTGTATGGTGGTGTCTTGATGATTTTGGTGTATACACATCCATACATTTAGGGCAGTATGACTTGACCATCGCCTCACCAGGTACATCAGACAAGCCTAAATCACAATTTAGGAAAAAAAGACAAATTAAGATATGTTGAGGTTACCCAAAGGTAGCATTGCCTGAGATTCACAATACACACGGGGACAATACCCAAAATCCCCAGACTGGTACTTTTCAATCATTTGAGCAATTCCCCGATTTGTCAAAATGTACCTGGCGTGTATTAATCCATAAAGCATTTCAGCAGCTTGTTCAATAAGATCAGATTGGTTGGGATTATCGTCAAGTTCATCATCTACAAAAATATGAGTAAAAAATTATAAAACTTGAGATGGCTTCCAAATACCGGGTTCTAAGTCTAGTATCATATCAAGAGCTTGCCTGTAATGCGGTACTTGTTCATTCAAGCCCGTCAAGTTAAATTTATCTTGTATATAATCCTCATCCACCTACAAATACACTTTGTAATCTGGTCTTTAAAATCAGGCAAATTTCATTTACTTCGCAAAAGAATTCATTTCCTCTAAGTCCGCAAAACCATGAAATCCATGATACCTCCTCTGAGCTGCTCATTTTCCTAAAACATTTCCGATTTATTTAGAAAATTAGAATTTTGTGACGGTTGTGGCTGTCCAACCCTATGTTTAGATTACATTTAATGACATTTGTGACACAACTACGACGTTAATTTTCGATTTTAGAGCTTAGAAAGGATGTGGAGGGCTGGGAAATGATGAGATGAAGACCAAATTGTGATCGAGGAAAGAAATATTTAAGAATTTTACCTCTTTGTACCTTGATTAGCCACGCTTACGCTACTTCATCTACGCGAAAAAAGAGTTGATGTTGGGCTCATCTAGCGGAAAGTGACGGCACTACATGACAGACTTAACCGGGAAATTTAAAATTTAGGAGATTTAAATTACAGTAAAACCTCGGCACAACGATCACTATTGTTTTTCCAATACTGTTTAAATTTAATGAATTTATATTTAATTCTATATAAATAAATAAAATACTGAGCAGATAAATCGCTTCCGTAACACTTTTATTTGTATTTGCATAATAAATCAAATATTATATTGGTGTTTAGTTTAACATTTGAATTATTTAAATTGATTCAACGTTAGTTTTTAAAATGGTATTTGTTAACTGTTTACAAGTAGATTTTTTATTATTATATCTACGTATTATTATACAACAGAGTGATCATAAATGTATAAATCATGTTGGCTCTGTGAATACCCGAATACGCCAATTTGTACAAATGTATACTTAATTACTTACTGTGCTTTTTGTGTATTGTAAACTCTGGTAAGTCTTTAATTTCGTTAGCATTCTAAGTTTTTCTCAAACTTTTTCAAGGGCAAAATTTTTCACGTTTTGTATCGACTACTCTTATTTTTCTTTTCAAGTTTACAGCGTTTTTATGTTGACTTGACAGATATACAGGTATGTCATCAATCATGAGTTATCGGTCATCACGTCACTTATCTCTGACTAGGGTGAGAAATTAGTTATTAACACAAAAAGTTACAATTTTGTAAAAAAAATGAAGTCCGAAATATTTCTATATTTTGTTACTGCATACAGGGTGAGTCATTTATAATAAAGATCCTAACCAATTTTCCGACGCAACCCAAAATACATTCTCACAGGTACAGTTGGAGACAAAATACTTTGGTCGTCATTTTTCTGACACTTTAATGTAATTCAAGCTTTAACGTTAAAATGAATGTCAATTTCAAATTAAACAACTTGTCAACTATGATTGACAGTAGCTAAAAATAAGGTTAACAGTCCTAAAGCATGCTTTACAATTTAATGTCACTCAAGTGACATTGACGACCAAAGTATTTTGTCTCCAACTGTAACTTAGCTTTTGTTGTGTTTGAAAAACTTTGATTATCAAATTTAAATTTAAGTACTTGTTGATATGTCATTAATTAAATTTGACAGAATCATCAATTCCACTTTTTTTTTTCTTAAAAACATCGAAGTGATTGATATGATCTTGATATATGTATGTATGAAAAATGCTACGAAAATGTTTGTCTAATTTTTAAAAACTGTCACGGCTATTATTACCTTTATATCTTTGAAAATTTTCAAACAGTACCTAAATTTATTAACACATAGTGGCATCTGAAAATGTATTTTGGGTTGCGTCTAAAAAGCGGTCAGGGTCTTTATTATAGTATGTGATTCCGCCTGTATTTAGACAAATATTAATGAAATTATTATGATATAACTTTGTAATTTATTACATTGTATGTATTTAAGGTGAGAGCAACTTTCTTTAAAACATCTTACTATTAACAAAAAAAAATCTGAGAAAATGCTTTTCAAATATGTTTTAACGTTGTTTATTTAAGATTTTGTTATCGCACTTGTTTCAAAACAATGGTATCACTAAAATATGACTTTAAAAACAACAAACAAATTAGAAACAATAGGTAGAAACAACATTTAATTAATAAATAATAGGAGCAATAAAAAAACAAGTTTTCTGAATAATTTTTTTTGAATCATTATAAGAATATTAATTTTCTGTTTGGTATTTATCGAAAATTTTCAACACGTTTACTGCAGTTTTCCTAAAACTTCCACAATCAATAAAAAATTATACCGTGCAAAAAAACAACGAAAAGTTTTTCTGAAAATAAAGATGCGACTGATTCGTGCTAATAAAGCGTTACTCTCTAGAGATAGTCAACCATAAATAATTTTCTTTTGATCAGTTTATGTAACTCAAAACTGTGAAAAATAGATAAAAATAGTGAAAATAAGATCATTTCCCTATTTTTAGTTTGCGCAGACGGCCGGTCTAGTCGAAGGCTTTCCTAGGCGCCGCGACGTCGTCACCCGAAATGTTTAGTGACATTTAATTCCATTTAAAACGGACAATAAACTTTTAACCATCTATTGTTAATTGAAAAGTGAAAACCCAGTCTACTTTTAGAAATCTCCTTGCACAAGTGGGACGTGCTAGTTGCGGTTTTTGAAGACAAACACAGTTGACTCATACCACGCGTAAATAATTTTTAGCTCTTTTGTTATCATATTTTAAACAAAAACCCAAATTATACCAAAATGTAGTTTGCTGTGATTGTTAATTACGAGTCAAGGTTAAAACGGATTATTTATTGTTCAGTTTCATTCTCTTGCAGGAGTGTTGTAAACAAACAAGTGGTTATAATACATTGTTGGGGATTTTCTTCCACGGTTTGTTTAGTTAATTGGAAGGTTGTTGTCGCTTGTTCAGTAATTGCAGTGTTAGTGCGACGATGTTTTTAGAAGTTGAGTGGGAATGAAAGACGACAGGAAATTACAAAAATTAATTCAATGTCAGTGAGACAACGATGCTCGAAATCTAATTTTTTAAATAACAATTTGTAGGTAAGTCGATCGACATTTTTATTACGTGCAGTAATATTGTTTCTAAAAAGTATGATTCTTTTATCTGTTCCAATTAATGTTATCAAGAAACAATTTCGCAGTACCAACAATCAATCGACAATTAAGTTTTGAATGTGTTTTTTTTTTTAATTACAATATGGAATTATGATTCAAACCGCCATAATCTAATGTTATGTTTAATGCATCCAAGCATACAATTTTGAAACTGGGCCATTGATCTATTCACATTCTTCCTTCCTAATGAGCTTTTAATTAATTGTAGCGTCACATAAAAGGGCTCACTAGAGTTCTTAATTGAAAATTCCTGAAATGTTTTAAAATGTCTTAGAATTATGCGCAAGTATAGCGGAAGTAGAACGCAAGTTCTAGGTCTTCAGGTTAGTATCAACAATAACTATGATAGTGAAAGTGCACTTTACAGTTATGGATTAAAATAACAGACAACAATTTGACTAACGTAAATCGTTTAAAACTTTTATCAATTCTTTATCGTTAAGAAAAATATTTAGACGTAGGTAAAAGAATTTGTTGTCATAAATTGTACTCATTTAAATGCATTCTAAACATTTTTCTAAAAGTACATTTATTCTATGAAACGTGTTTTGAAACTTTCGGTTAATTATATTTAGTTTTGTATAGCTACAACAAACGTTTAAGTAATTATTTCTTAATCGGGTTTTTCTAATAACACAAAGATGATTCATTTTATAAACTTTTGATACATCCATAAACAAAGAACGGAAACGCTTCATACAAGTTCAATAAATTAAAAATAATCTGATAATATAGATATCCCTCAAATTATCTTTTATCTTATCGCAGAATGTTGCCTTGCTCTCTATAATGTGCAAATGTTGTTCATCCTGTAAAATCCATTACAGAATTGTATGATTTCAGACTAAAAGTGCAAGTTATACGATGGCAAGGTCGAAGATGCCAGAGGGACTTGGTAAGTAATCGAATTTTTTTTTTTTCAACGAATCATATGAATCAAATCAACTTTTTTTCGGCGTATTTAGAACCAGAAAAATGTTTCCATTGATTCAAGCGAACATGGTTGCTAAAGGAATAAGTAATAAAAGTTGTGATCGAATTGAAAAATTTCAAAATAAGTAAATATTTATTTAGTGATTTATGATGGAAACTAATAAAACATCTCCAGAGTCCAGTTGTATATACTTACAAAATTGGCTTGTGTTAACAACATTTTGTGAAATTGTGTCAGTCTTAATATATGTATGTAAACTAAACTCTATTGACCACTTTGATGTAGAAAAAATGTTTGAAAAGTGACATATTTTTAAAACAAAGGCAAAAGTCTCATGAAAAACAAGAAAAATAAGTAAAACTGCAACATTATCTGTACACTTCCTTATTTTGTTTTCTTTAACCTTGCAAATCATTATTTCAAAATAATGAAGATCTGTCCATTTTAATAACACTCTTACGTAAACAAGATCTGTCCCTGCTATTAGCTTTTTTGTACTCTGAAAACTTTTCGCAGATATTTTTGCAAAATTTTTGATAAAGACCTGTTCAAACAAAGATTGGGAAACCTCTTTTTCGTGTCAAGATAAAAGAGAGATAATTGCTACTGTCAACAGCAATTACTCGTGTTTAACCTTGTAGTTACATTTTTGTGTTAGTTTTATGTTTATTCCTTTAGTAGTTGTGTGCATTTGACATGTCTCGAGACAGATACAACTCTTGTAAGTTAATAATCCTAAAGTGTTACTAATTGTGTAATAAAGTAGTAAGTAATAGTGATGTAATCTGCTGGTATTAAAACTTGCAAAGTACCTACTTTTTAATTATCAGCAATACCAGTCCTTATCTAAATAGTTCAACGTAAATATTTTCTTATTGTTATTATTGTAAAACATTGCCTTTATTTGAATAAAACATAAAAAAAATGTAATTAAACTGTTTCTATTTATATACCGCGTAAGCAAATATTTGAAGGTAAGTAGCATAAACGCGTTCATTAAACTTTGGACTTCATTCGTATTGATATCAATTCTTTGAATAAAAAAATTCTTCTTAATCTTTCTTCTTAAAATTTCGCTTTTTTCTAGGGGAACCAATTCCATACGATCCCGATTTCAACGGTCCTTTACGTCGCCGCTCTTGCACCGATATCATTTGCCTTTTAATTTTTTTCGTATTTATTGGATGTTGGGCGGGAGTTGCAATTTATGGTATGTGTATCACGTCGAAGAGAGAGAAAATCGTAACAAATCTAATAAAGCTTTTAGTAGTGGAGATCCTAATACTTTATTGGTGCCTAAAGATTCATACGGTAGTCGATGTGGGTTGGACGAACATGTCAAAAACCGGCCCTATCTATTTTTCTTCGATTTAAGTAAATGTTTTTCACCTTCAGTACCTTTCACGGGATGTCAAACGAGACAAGTAAGAGGTGGATTCAAGCTCAAGGGTGTATAACTGGGAGAGTTATTACAGGTTTGTGTGGAAAAATGTCCCGATTATTATTACTCTTTTGATCAAGAGCCGACTAACTATAAGAATAAATTGATATGTGACTATGATGTTGACCTCAATAATGGGGATCCAAAAGCATTGGTCGAGAATGGAAAATGTGCGAAATATTATTTCAAGAGTTCCTCATGTAAGAATCTTTTTGTTACATATTTTTTTGAGCTTTGAGTTAAATACAAACTTACATATTTTGTATACAGTCTTAAACAGATGTTTGTACAATACTGCTGATCGTAACAAGCCTAGCAAGGATACAAACATAGAAAAAGAAATTTCTGAATTAAAAAAACATTTGAATAAAATTGCAATGTGGATGTCCCTATTTGTTCAAAATACGATTGGTTATTTCACAGAAAATCAAAACTATCAACAGGTAGATATTTCTTACGTCTTTGTTTAAACATTAATTGTCATTTACCTACCCTTAGACACATGTAACTTTTCAAATTTCAGTATTAACAATTAGTTTTGGTTTACATTTATGTAGTAACCAGTAGCCACTGTATGCACATGTAGAGTGTAAATAGTAAATTCAGAATTTACATCAATAAAAAATCATGCAAAAACTAGTTCAATAAACACTAACTCAATTTAAATATAAAATACACAGTGAACAATAAGTCAATAATTGGTTACATTACTTACCATCTTACACCAATCTTTGTGGCTGAAGATATTTTTCAAAAGTTGTAATAAATTTCATTGTTATAAATGCAGTTCTTCTTCGATTTTAAATTCAGGTGTACCTACCTAAAACTTATTTCATATATGTATTATATTAAAAACAGATTTAAAAAAACAAATACTTAAAAGTGTAAAATTTGCAAATTTAATTTTTCAAAAATATCTGAAACACTATTTTCTTTGAAATCAGAGAAATAAGCCAACACATTTATTGCTTATTGCAGTTGAAAAAAGGTGCATACCAACCATAGACGATACTTTTTATGAAACACTGAAGAAATTCGCATTGAATGATACTCAAAAGTTTCTTGACAGTGTAAAAAACATTAAAGCTCTGTCCCAAGCCGAACAGGTAGGATTTTATGTGTGGCCTTTGTGTAACATTATTTTGTAATTTATGTTTTAAAAATTGTGTGTTTTTTTTTCACTCTGTACACTTTTATTCTCCATATCCACGCATGCACATCATTGCACTTATTGTTTAAATCGCTTGTTCTCTCTTCAAATCGTATTTTAGGTGGGCCAGAATATCGTCGATGATCTTGTAGAATCCTGGTGGAAAATACTTGCAGGTGTTGGGATTGCAGTTGTCGTATCTGTAATTTATATTATGATGTTGAGATGGTTGGCTGCTCCTTTGGTGTGGCTTAGTTTGATTGGAGTTTTAGCATTGTTGATTGCAGGTAATTTGGTCACGATTTCGATGGGTGTAAATACAGTTTGGTGTAATTTCAGGAGTTTATTTCACAACAGTGAAATACATAGAATTGAAAGATAAAACGGATGAAGACGTTGAAACTAACAACATTATCGAATCGTACGCTACGAAAAAAGACACGTGGCTGGTTTTGCTTATAATTTGTTCGATTGTCCTTGCAATTGTTCTCCTTATGATGATTTTCTTGAGGAAAAGAATCATTCTGGCTATCGCATTGGTAAAAGAAGGCAGCAAGTAAAATAATTGTACTTTATAGTTTATTATTATTACACTTTAATTTTATAGAGCCGTAAGTTCGGTCACTTCGGTACTCTTTTTCCCCATTTTCCCTTGGATTCTTCAAATTGGAGTTATAGCGTTTGCGATTTGTGTCGCCCTGTATCTTGCAACTACAGGTGATCCTGAGTATAAAGTTCGAGGAATGACTAGTGACTGTCCATGTTTCAATATTTCAACTATACACGTACGTTAATAAAAAAATTAAAGAACTAGTACTTATCCTACTTACAGAATGGTACAAAATGTGATCCAGCACAATTCAAAAATTTCACATGTTTAGCCTCCACACTTTGTTCGGGTGTCACTTGTAAATTCACAACCATGAACAACCCCAAATGGTACCCATATTTGCAAGGTGAGAACCAAACGTTAGTATCAAAAGCTTCACTAACGCCGTTGTAGCATTCAACGTGTTTGGCTTTTTCTGGGGCACTTTTTTCGTCTCGGCCCTTGGCCAAATGATCCTAGCTTCAGTTTTTGCCACGTGGTACTGGACTTTCAATAAATCAAATTTGCCATTTTTTGCGGTACTAGAAGCGACTGGACGAACCCTTAGGTACAAATTTACTTTTATTCTTTGGGTACATTTATTTTTTTAGGTACCACATTGGTACTCTCGCCTTTGGTTCCCTGATTATCGCCATATGTAGGATGATTCGAGTCGCATTGGAATACATCGACCACAAACTTAAAAAGTACGACAATGGAATAACTAAAGCGATTTTGTGTTGTTGCAAATGTTTCTTCTGGTGTTTGGAAAAATTCTTGAAGTTTATAAACCGAAATGCGTATATTATGTGTGCAATTCACGGCAAAAACTTTTGCATGAGTGCCAAAGATGCGTTCATGCTTTTGATGAGAAATATTTTGCGAGTGTTTGTTTTGGATAAAGTAATGAAAATCGGTTTTGTTGCAATTAGATATAAGTAAATACTTTTTTTTAGGTAACCGATTTTCTATTCTTTATGGGAAAACTTCTGATTACGATGGGAGTTGGAGCAATTTCGTATGTCCTGTTTGCCACTGATTTAACAGGAATTGATAATTCTGGATTACACTATGAGCTTGTTCCTGTTATTGTTATTATGATTATCACATACATTGTTGCTACGGTCTTTTTCAACGTTTATAGTATGGCTGTGGACACTCTCTTCTTGTGTTTCCGTAAGTTATGATCAGTTTTGAGTACCCCAAACGCTATAAATTGTTACAGTTGAAGATTGTGAACGGAATGATGGAAGCAGTGAAAAGCCCTATTACATGTCTAGGAATTTGATGAAAATTTTGGGTAAAAAAAATAAAAAGGATTGAAATTTTAAGTCACTAGGTATGTAAGTAGACGCACTGTATTGATGCATTCTGTGATATTACATAAAGTATGTCTAAATAATTAAGTTTTTGTAATTATATAATTATTTTACTGGGTTATGTTAATTACTTGTAAGTGCCATTGAAAATAAAGTCTGATCTTGCAAAAAACGTATCCAAAACAACTGTTTATTCACACAACGTGTTAAAAAAATTTATTGCATCTACAACACAACAATTTTTCACAACTACTACAATCTTATGTTCACAGTAGGTACTTCATCGCCTTCATCCTCCTCAATATCAATGAGTCCATTTTCGTCAGCTCTTGACAAAATGTCACAAACAAGGGGCGATTCGACCCCTAGAATATACTCACAATATCGCGGCTCTAACAAATAAAGGGACACTGTATTTAAGCTTGTTGAATCTTCCAAACATTTGAGTTTCACTTCTGTTTGGCGCGGCTTTCCGGTCTTGTCACAAACTGTTCCTTCGGAGTAAAAATGTGATAACTGTGTTCTCTGGGCCAAGGGTTTGGGTCTCTTGTGTGGATGCTGCTCAATCCAGTCTATATGTTTCTGTTTATTGAACATTCCCAACTTAATTGTGACTTTAGAACCGTCTTTTTCAATATGATATTGTTCCACTGACTTGCCGTAACAGAATTCATACCGCCACCAACCGGTGCCCCCGGTGAGACAGTTTTTTCCTGCAAGAAAGCTCTGGACTGGAGAAGTATCGAGTGGCTTGCTTTCGGGCATTTTGGTGGTTTCTTCTTTATCGGTGAAGTCCGGGGGTGGAACGAACTCGATTTTAATACGGTCGAGGTCGGATTTGCGTCTCAGTTTCGTACTCTCGATTTTCATCTTGGCCAAATTGTAAGGTTGAGGGGGGCTGTTTTCGAGCGGAATACAGTTAATTTTGTTTTCTCCCGTTTCCTTAGGTTTGTATTTGGGGTGTGAGCACAGAAGGGGTGAGAGAATTATTATTTCGTATTGACAAGTCGAGGTTTCTTTCAAGGAGTATACTTCATGCTTCCCGTGAATGTAACACACGTACAAAACCCGAGTTTCGCGAGGTTTGTTCTGATTTAAGTCACACTGAGTCCCATTTCCCATCAAAATCTCAACATAGGGCAAATTAACATTGTCGATTTTTTTAACAGGGATTTGGGTATTTTTGTCTTTTTCTGCTTCCTTTTCTTGCGCTAACATCTTCTCGTACAACTTTTCATCCCACCGTCCTAAAGTGTACTCCTGTAGTTTAACTTTTTTCCCCTCGCGGTCTTCATGGTACTGTCGAATAAACCTCCCATGACACACTTCGTAAGTCCAGTAGGACTCTAATCGATACGTGCAAGAACTCTGCGTGAATAAGGGCGAAATAACTTCCAACGCTGTCGGCCCGTCGTATTTTTCCTCACTTGAAGTTTCCTTTTCCTGAATATTAGGCAAAATGCACTGATATTTCTCTTGATGTGAACTCGTCACAATAATATTTTCCGCATTGGCAAAGTCAATATTTTCGGTGTTTTCGCCGGGCCAATGAATATCAAATAAAACGGTATCATCGAAACCTTTCACATCGTGCCCCAGGACCAGCAATGGGGCCACAATCACAGCTATGGCAAGTGAGCAAAGCATTTTCTCCAAAGTACTTATTTCACGCTTAGCACATCAAAACACTTTAGTAATCGTACCATCACGAATTAAACACGACGGAATTGATAAAAAACAGATTAATTAAAGAAAATTTAAAGTGACGTGTCCATAACCTCAAACGTCATCTGCCACTGATAAAAACATTCATGAAGTTAGAAACAGAAAATTACTAAAGTATTGTTGGTTGCATACCTTGTATTGGATTAGAGTAAGATAAAAACTAGAAGAACACCAGTGGCGTAACCTTCGACCATATATTAGATAGACTCGTCATCCAGCGAGTTTGTAGGCAGTTTGTTTGAAGCCAACATGTATGGACAAGAGGAGTGAGGGGCAAGAGGATGCTTACTCTTCCTTACTTCTTGTTCAGTGGCGGCTCCTAGCCAAGGGGCGGAAAATGAAAAATATTATAAGTTTCATAAATAATGTTTCTTGAAAAAACTAATGGTATTTCGAGATTTTCAAACTACTTGACTCTTTTGGTGTGATCACTTAACAATCTACAATCATATCGCCCGAGTTACAATATAAAAAAAATATTCAATGTAATATGGGAAGATTAGAATACATTACGACGCCACTGGTGGTGCACATATTTTGAATGAACCAATCAGAGAAGGAGTCTCTAAGGGTTAAATTCGCATACCATTAGTGATTTCCCCTTGCCCCACCTGCACATGTTGGCTTCACAACAAATCAGAGTATGCCTAGTCTATCTAATATATGGTCGAAGGGCGTAACCAAATAATTTTACACTAATTTTATTTAAAAAATATATACATTTTCATTATACAGTCATAAAACTAGTAGCATTCATTATCTTTATAATCTTATGTTAAAATAAATATCATAATACCGCTTGAGACTGCTAGTCAAGTGCTTCTTTATTGGTGTTATCATAATTAAATTTATCATCATCTTCTACACCTATTAGATCTGAATCTCCGCTCGTGACACTGTAAAAACGTTACAGAAGCGCTATTATATTTTGTTATACGTTTACCTTCTTCGGTCCACTTCTTTAGTGTCAACATCATTGTTGTAAACCGGATTTGACCCTTCAATTGCATGTTTATTTGTTGTCGGGGCTGCTAGCCCAACCCTATTAAGTCCTGATTCCTGAGACCCAAATTTCGTGCTGGATAGTTTTTGTATCCGTTGACTGAGACTAAAAAACAATTTCCTATTATTATTTTCTGCACCAATTCATTCAACTTACGCTCTTGTCCTCAAAATAAACGCAATCAGAAGAATAAGACAAAGTGATCCTAATACTACCGATACTCCGATAAGCCACGCTTTCAATGTCTCTTCCAAGTTTTCAGTAGTGTCCGAGTCTGAAGAAAAGCTCATCAGAAGCAAACCCACTTTTAAAAATTCTTCTTTCAGGGATTGGAATTTGTCCACTTTCGTGACTTGTCTGAAAACTTTTTTTCGAATTTTGTAAATTGGGGAATTATACACTTACTTTAATATTTCTGTTGCTTCTTTTGGTTCGTGTGATTTAGTATCGAGGAAGAAAACAGGAACGATTGTTTGATCCTTGTTTTCGTCAGCTTCTGAGTCTTTTTTTGGGTCTTCAACGGTTGTGGAGTAGTTAAATTGCGCTTCCAGTATAGATTTTATCTGGAGAAATATTTTTATTATAGGATTATGTTTATGGAAAATGGATAGAAACTTACTGAACCGGTGGCATTTTGTACAACTTCTTGTTTGTTTTCAAATTTGAAATTTACGGTGTGTTTGGAAGTTACCAAGTAGATTTGAGCAGTAGCTTTGTCTAGATAAGTTGGATCTATATGAGACAAGATGTGTTAGAAACTGATACGTATGTAGAAAAGTCTAACCTTCATCATGAACACTGAGGTACAATGTAAAATATCCATCCATGCTGTCACTAACTTGAAAATTGTGTTTGATAACACCGCTTTTTGGGTCTTCAATTTTGAAATAATCCTTAACTGTGCTATTTGATACACCTGACGAATGCGATTCTATTGAATCTATGGCGTATATTAGCTTTCCTTGACTAGTTGTATCAATATCGGTGGCCTAAATCGATTATTATAAGTGGCAAAATGTTTACAAAGTTGGTGTATTACTTACAGAAATTGTAAGGACGATACCTGTACCTGAAGTAAGAATTGAAATATACTCTTTTTGGTCAAACACTGGTGGGTTATCATTCACATCTTTGACCTAAAAAATATTTATATATACTTATTGCAAAATTTAACACTAATTGTTTACATTTATCGTAAGATGAAACTTCGTCTCTTCGATGGCATTGGAATTAATAGTGTCTTTATTTGACGATTGTATCACCAACGTGTAACTTTTCACTTCTTCGAAGTCAAGTGTCGTCTTAAGTGTTACAAGTCCTTTCTTTATGTCTACATCAAAAATGCTGTCATTGCCCTCACGCAACAAATAGAAAATGTCTAAACCAGAAATATCCACATCTGGATATGTCGCATTTTCGACTTGATACTGAGGTTCTAACGAATTTTCTTCAAACTCAGTAGAATCTTTATGATTGGTAAAAACAGGATCTGTTTTATCTTTATCAAAGAAATCAATATGGAAAGTACAATTTTTCGAATATGGTTTTTCTCCTGGAGCCATTTGACTTTCATCAGCATCTAAATAAGCCATAACAGTTATCTAAAACAGAATTTTAGATCTCTAGTAACAGTTCAAGTCCAAGTACCGTGTAAGGTTTAGCCGTAAAACTACTTGTGCTCATTTGGAGTTGTGCTTGAGAGCCACCGCGATTAGAGACTTTAAAGAGATTTTCTCCGCTGCTATCCTCAACGATTTTGAATAAAATTGCGTATTTATCTTTTTGTTGATCAGTAGCCACAAAATTGTCTAAAACGTCGTCGTTCCACATTTTCAATGATGAGTCTTTGTTTTGGGTCTAGAGTGTTAGGATGAGTTGGAAATAAAGTACAATAAACGATTTTATACCGTTTTTAAGTAATAAGTAGCTCCATCTGCAGGGAATGTAAATTTAGGTTCCTCAAAATTGAATTTTGACACTTCTACTGAAACGGTTGAGACACTAGACAAAGGAGGTTCTCCTAAATCTGTCGTCTGAAATAAAATTGTTTTAACAAAATTCATGATATTCTTTTGAAAACCATACATTAATTGTAAATTTGAGATAACCATAATTGTCCCTCAAATCCTCTTCGTTTAAAATAAGGGTAGCTTCCGTCTGAGTGTCAGATGTTTCTATATCAAATAGAGTATCAGAAGCGCTTTCGCAATTTTTTAGTGCTTCATCCTGACACCGTTCAATGGATGCAATTAAAAATGTCATTTTTCCGTTATCACCTTCATCCTTATCTTCTCCCTGAAGTTGTGTGCTAAGTGGACCCTAAATATTGTTATTTCGTCAAACAATTATCAAATTTTCAATGTGGATACTTACTTGTTTAGTGTTTTCTGTAAGTTTTGGTAAACTTGTAGTGATTACAGTTGGGTAATTATCATTAACATCTTTTAATTTTATCGTTATTTTTGGTGGTGGATCTACGGGGTTTGAGATTGGTCCTATAAAAATTTAGTAAGTATACATTCAAAAAAAAAAATTCTCAAAACCTTGTTCAGTAGGATCGTCAATACACCTAAGATCAAATGTAAACTCTGGATTTGTCTCTCTATCTAAGGTAGCTCCTGCTGATAAGTTAACTGTAATTCTATTCTGGTCGTCAATTTTGAATCTGTTTGTTACATCAGTACTGGTAGTAGATGAAAATGAACACTTCACGGTATGGAATGGTTCTACAAAAAATAAAACTAAATATTTCGTCCTTAAAAACGATTTTTATGCAGAAATTAGATCCTGCTAGTGGATTTTCTATGAGAAAAACTCTGCAACGATGAGCAGAACTACAGATTCGCTTACGAAATGTTTAAAAATTAATTTTATTCGGGAGCTCCTAGTTCACTAACTTTACATTTTATGTTTAAAAAAATATATTACCGTCTCTGTCACCATCTTTTGGGTCTAACTCAAGCACCAAAGCTCCGTTTTGTTCACTGTTATCATCAAGCCCATTATCTTCAGATATTTCTTTCTCCTGATTACCTAATTGAGGTGACAAGTCATTTTGGTCTTTTATATCGATGGTGATCTAAAATTGTGTGTGGTTGTGTAAAATGAAAAAATAACTAAATATTTATTACATCGATAGAAGTATTATGGACGCCATCACTTGCTGTGATGGTATAAGTAACATTATACGTGAAAATGCCTTCCGGTTTGTCCGAATCAATAACATCGTTATCTTCCAAATTGACAAATAGACTACCCGTGATCTCGTCAACTGCAACCCAGTTGGGTGTTTTGTCGTCAACGGGCCTACAATACTAATTTTTTGTTTGTTCAAAAACTAGAAGAATTCTCACTGTATAGAATATGTGATATTGTCTCCAACATCTTTATCAGTGGCTGTTATACTACCAATAACAGTTCCTGTTCCTGAATTTTCAGTGACTTGTCTTTTATCATCAGCATTATTTGAAAATTCTGGACTATTATCGTTTTTATCTCCGATGGTTATGGCAATTAATGCTGAAAGAAGAGTGTCTCACAGTCAAATCCAAAACATTTATTAACTTACCAAAATCAAAACCTTCATTCTTCTCGGTGTTTTTATCAATAACCTTCAAGTAAATATACAAACTATCAAATAATTCATAATCTGGAGTGTTTTTTTTTTGAGTTTCGTTGATAGTTAATTTGGCGGAGGCCGCATGGTTTGTTGCACCAGCAACAGTTTCGACGTTAATACAACTACAAAATGCTACTGTTTCTACCAAAAATATTAAACCAAACAAAATACATACTGATATTTCGCGAAATCCTCATCTTTTATTCTTCGAGAGTTCTTAGTCGCGTAAGACTGACTCCAATCAATTGAAAATTCTAAGTCTGCAGTCGTGTCCTCATCAGAGGCAGTAATAGTAGCTTTTAATTCGGTACCATCGTCTTGATTTTCGCCAATTTCGATTGATGACGACTTAAAACAACATATCTTAGTAGAACAAAAAATTTCTGTAAAAATTCTACTTACAACAACTAGTTTTGGATTTTCGTCATTTACGTCTTGTACTTGGATGGTTAATTGAGTAGTAGCTGTATGGTTTGCTAAATCTGTGGCCATGATCTGAATGTAAACCTCGTTTTGCTTTTCATAGTCGAAAGCATCTTCTACTTTAGTGGTAATATTGCCACCTAATGCTTCGATTGTTAAAATGTTATTTGCCAAAGTTCCCAATAATTCGTGCCTATGATTAGTATACATTAAAACAAAATTACCCAAAAGCATCTTCAATTACTTTAAACCAGCTTCTATATCTTCAGCATCTGCATCTGTTGCTTGTATTGAAGCTATCACATAACCAGATGGTACGTCTTCCCGGACTTTGACAACACTAACATCTCCAAATTGAGGTGTTTCATCATTGATGTCATTTAAATTTATTGTAATTGGTATCATATCAGCCATTGATGCGTTTTTGGTACCTTTAGTGTGCAACTGGAACCAGAATTGAATCCATAAAACTCTACTACCAAATTTGGTCTTACCTCCATCATAATTTTTCGCCAATCGGGTTGCTCAAAATCTAATTTTTTTGAGTCTAAAATAGTCAGAGTAAGTGTTGTATTTTCATATCCTCGTCCAGGAATTATAGCAAATGCCGTTAAAAAATCTGCATTATCTGAAGTGAGTTCTACAGTGTATATAGCATTCTCTCCCTAAATAAAAAAAAAATAGGTTAAAATAAAAAGAAAAGAATTAGTATTTACAAGGTCTATATCAGATACTGATATTTTTGTATCTATATCATTGGAGCCTTCATCTATTGTTAATTCTAAATTTTTTTTGTCGTCTGTATCGTCAATATAAATTTTTGGAATGTTGTCATCAATATCTTCAATAAGCAACAAAATCTGGTCAGATGTTTTTGAGTCTGGATCTTCTACTTCGGTAGCTGTTACTTGAATGGTGATTTGGTCGTTTCCTGCATCTCTGTCAATTGGGTCTATAGTAATAGTTCCATTCTTAGAGTCAATCTTGACATAACCACCTAAACCAGTAAAATGTAGTTTTTATAAAGAACTAAAGTTTGGTTAAAGTCTTACTGGGATCATCAATACTATAACTTATGTTATTATTTATTCCATAGTCGCCATCTCGTGCTGATACTTGTGTCGTCTGAAAAATTATGTTAGAAATTAATTTTAAATGAAATTAAAGTATACATAAAGCTGCTTTTCTGGTATTGTTAGGGCAGACTGAAACTTATCCCAAACTGGTGGTTTATTAGGCATGTCTTTCACTTGGACTATAATGGGAACACTTTTTACAGGAGTAGTCTCGTGACCAGCACCGTCCTAAAAATTCTTAAAAAACTACTAAATAAAAAGCAATTTAAGATACCTTTGCTTCCACGTGAAATGAATATAAAATTGCATTGTCGTAGTCTAGAGTCACTCCTTCTTTCAAAATTAAATAAACGTCGCTTGTCGTAGTAGTGTCAGAAGGATCATCTTTATATTCAAATTCGAATAAGTCTTTTTCACCCTACAATTAAACACATATTCAATTGTAGTTAAATTAACTAATTAAATCTTACTCTTGTGCCTACAATATTTTCAAAATTCATTTGGATTAAAAATCCATCAGGATCACTAACTTGGAAAACACACTTCGAATTATCAACTGTGTATTCTTTCATTTCCTATAATTTGATATTAGCACAAACACTTTCAAAAAGTTGAGAAAATAAATTACCTCCATCTCGCAATTAGAGGTTGTTAAAGTAGGGCTTTCGTCGTCCAAATTTTTGATAATAACGAGCAAGGTTTGACGAGTGTTTGGATCTTCACCATCCGTAATGTCCAAAGGAAAAAGGTAAGTAGAGCTTAATTTTTCATAATCCAGCCGGTTTATCGTAATACTGTATTCATTAGGATTGGCTCTGGGCTCAACTTTGGCGTTTAGTTTTTTCTCTTGATCAAAATCGTTTATTTGAAGTACGTCTTTAACTAAGTGACACATTTTTATTCGATGAATTTATTTATTTTTTCTTTTACCATCAGTTACTAAAACAGCAACCACACGTGCACCGTCATTATCCTCATCTACTGTTACTGGTTGTCCTGATGAAATTAGGTCGTCGAAGTGTACCCCTGGGGAGTTGGCATCCTTGAATTGAAATGAAGAAACTATAAAACAATAGTTGGATTTTTTGTTATTAGAAAGTTATCAACTCACCGTAGTGTAAAATTCCCAGAAACACCCAAAAGGTGAATCTCATTTTGAACAACAAAACTGAAAATGATTGATAAAATACTTATTAATAACTGATGCCAATGATTAATCTCTTCATCCTTATCATCATATCGAATTCAGCTTCAATAGTATCTTATATTATCCTACCTTATCACAAACATTTGCAGTGATTGTTAACTAAATTTGGATAAAACTCCAAGGTCAATGTTATATAGAAGGTACTTTGTTAAATATGTTTTAAAAGGCATTAGGGGAGTATTTAAAACAATAATAATTTAGTTTTATTTTGGATAGACATAAAAAAAAAGTTTCTTTTGAAAAAATTGATAAATATTAGAAAATTACTTTCTAATATAAAATTAAGTCAAACCAAGTCTGGAAATGTGTGTGTTTAGTACCTACTTACTAAAAAGTATTCCTACACTTTGCAAAAGTTGCTATTACGCGGGCACAATGGTTTCAACTGATAAAACAGAAAATATTGATCATTTTTCATTAATCTAGCTTTAGTTGATTAGATAATGTTAACAGAGATAAAATCTTCAAAAATTCATCAACAGGTATTAATTTGTAAAAAGTAATACTGGCCTCAATTTTAATTATTTTTATTTTGTTGAATCAAGAGTTATTAGTAATCTTCTCTTTATAAGAATGAAAAATTTCTGTTAGTATCTACAAAACATTTCAAGCATTAATACATATTTTGGGAATAATATAAAAAAATGTTTTTTTTTGTATTTGCTGATTATAATGACTATTTTTTGAACTCAAAACACGTTGCAAAATAGATATTTAAGAACCAAATCCTCTAAAGTGTGTCATGCCAACTTTAGTGGACCCAAAAATTCATTTTCGGGTTGTTTTTTAATCTTCATAAATGTTTTGAACATATTTAAACCAATTTATAACTCAATTCATGCTTCTTGTAGTAGTTTTAGGCAGTGGAGCAGCCAGAAATAGATTTTAGGGGGGGTGTAACTGAAAACAGTTGCACAAAATGCCCATTGTGATACCGAAACAGAAAAAAGCTCTTATGCTTTGTTCACTTATTTGTTCTTATGCTCTTTTTCATTTTTACTATTCTTTGTGTTTTTATTTGCTTTTATGCGCTTTCTCTCTCTTTTATGTAATTGTATATAATTGTATTATACATAAGGATGTGCTACTTATACTCAAATAAAATACAAAATTTTACTAATACATTAATCGTAAAGAAAAACTTTCTGAAAAATTCATCTCACTTATATTGTTTTTTTCTATTTTAAATATAAACACAACTGTTTTTTAACTACATAAATAAAGTAATGTTTAGTCTGTGTCCGTCGTATATTTCTTGAACAAAAAAATATAATAAAATCCTACCCAACTCTCTACCTTTCGAAAATTTGCTATTTATTTTGAATATTTTGTGAATTATCAAGAGTTGTATAAGGGCATCTAAAGTCATGGACCGAACGAAGATTTTTTTGAACAAAAAAATATAATAAAATCCTACCCAACTCTTTACCTTTCATTAATTATACCGAAAATTTGCTATTTATTTTGAATATTTTGTGAATGTTATCAAGAGTTGTATAAGGGCATCTAAAGTCATAGGTCTTCATGTATCACGTGGGTTACACGGATAAACGTACCATAAAGAATGATCAGTCTAAAGTGAACGTTGCTTCAGTTAACAGAAAAAAGTAAGTATTATAATTTATAGTTTCTTTTTATTTTCTTTTATTCTTGATCACTTCTGTATACTTACAAATAAGAGCTAACATTTAATGTAGATAACTTTCAGGTAAGTTTATTGAATTGTCTTTTATGTATGTAACATTTGTAATTATGCAGATAAGAATAAATTATATCACTATGTCCAATTTTGCTCTGATTTCATTCTTATTTTTAAAATTATAAATGATAAATCTCTGTTTTCAATACTCTAACGTCTGATAAAGTTAAAAATAACATTGCATATAATATAATGCTGTAAATTCCTATCAAAGACGCCGTTTGTCAAAGATTGAATCAGTGAGTAAATTTTTACTTTTTATAGTTAATTTCCACTTACAGATTAACCAGATTTTTAGGTAAATACCTAACAACACCAAAATTTTTTAAACGCTTGTTAATTATAATGCTTAATATTATCTTCTTATAAATTTTTGTTCAAAATTAAATTAATTTATTTGCAAAAATAAAGGTATATTAAAAAATTATTAAAAAATATGTTGCTTTTTTCTTTCACTCTCTCTAATGTTAGGTAAAAAACGATACATAACACAAGTTCTTCCTATGTACCATTTATCCATTTTTATCGAATCGGTCTCAAAGTGCGCTATAAGATAAAGTTAAACAGGATATAATTTACGATAAACACAAAAATTTTGAAGTTGAATCACCACAAGATGAACTATTGATCTTATTTTTAATATCGTAGTTCCGTCTGTAAAAACTGTAAATACTTATACACCAATTAACAGTATTCATGTCAATGATTATTTATTTCGTAAACATCAATATGGAATTATGGCTTCATTTTAAAAAATTGCCCATTTAAACTTTCAGCAATTAAGATAGTACATATAAGTCAATTAGTGCAATACTGTTAAAATAGATAAAGTATTTTTGACAATATTGAACTTTACTCTTCGGTCAATACAATCAAGAAATTACAAGAGAGTTAAACAATTATTTATTTACCTATAAGTTGAATTTAAATTTCATCTCTACAAATTAAGAAAAAATATTTGTTTAAATTTATTTTATTTCTAGAAAATTGATTAGTTAAGTCTTAATCAATGCTGTTGTATTAAAGTAATAGTAGCATTTTTTAGCAAATGAAACATTGTTTTCATAAAGATCTCTAATCACTTTAATTAAAATTTAGTGCCGACCCACCAACTAGCAAAGAAAAAACCATTCAAATTAAACAATCTAGAATCTGTGAACAGAATCACCACTCTTCCAATAGTAGAATCAGGATGGAATTTTGCAGAAAACATTTACTTCAGAATCAAAGTAAGAAAATTGTCTTAAATTTTCCACTTATTTCATTTGTAAAAATTTAGAAATCAAACAATTTGTTGTACTGGACTTTGCAACAAGCCGAATCTTCTTTCCAAACGGCTGTCGAAACGGCTTTACCGACAATAGCTTTATTTGAAGCTCCAATCTCTTCCATCGATAAAATACTGTGTAAAGGCTTAGATGTAGTGGAATATCAAATTCCATCAATTGGTTTGCCTCCAGAAATGGTAACAGCTTACGTTTTCTTTTACTATTTTTAACTGTAAATTGCAGATTTATTGGAATACTAAGCAATATGTGACTGACGTAAGCAGCAAAATCGTCAAGCCAGTTCTCAAAAGGGCCGATTCAGTTAAACAAATCGGAAACACAGTTTTGTCTAGCAAATATACAGAATTTGCAGCCAATACTCTAGACGGAGCTTTAGATGTTGCCGATAAATACGTGGATAAATACCTCCCAGCTGCTGTATATGACGACCAAAACATTAATGGTATAAAAATGTTTAATTTGTGTTAATCTAATTCAATTTTTCTAGAAATGGAACTCAAAAATAATGTTGATGGACCTGCAGGCCGAGCCTTGCAAACCATCCATCATGTGGGTCGCTTTTCCGGAAAGTTGCAAAGAAGACTTACTAAAAGGACTTTAGCTGAAGCTAAAGCTCTCAAGGAACAAAGCGCTGAAGCTATCAACGTTCTCATCTACGTGGCAGAATTGGTAAATTGGCTTTTTTTCTTTTGAGATGTGTTTTTGTTATAAACCATAATTTTAGATTGCAACAGACCCCAAACTTGCCTTTGCTAAAGGCAAGGAATTGTGGGCAAGTCTGAGCAAAGACGAGCCTGAAAATCAAGCTCGTCCTGAAAATTTGGAGCAGTTGATTGTTCTACTGACTCGAGAATCGGCTCGCCGAGTGGTTCATTTTATAAATTTCACCAGTGCTATCATCAGCAAAGTGCCCAAACATATCACAAACTCCTTCTTGGCCACTCTATCGAAATTTTTGCATTTTGCCGACTCCATGGTCAAGGTAATTTCAAATGACTAATTAAAATAAAACTACTATATTGTACACCAATATCTGATTGTTTCATATAGTAGTTTTATTTTTAGCGTAATCGAAGACCGGGTGCTAATAGAACCAAAGCTTTGCACGTTACTTTTAATAGTGCTTTAAGGATTCATATGATAATCGTCGGTTGCTTTCCATTACAAAACGACTCTCTTTGAGATCGATAGTGATTTGATTTACTTTCTTAGAGTGTCCATTTGGAAGGAGTTCAGCAAGTTCTCGTCACTGCTCTCAAATATCAGGCACACCATTTTACGCTGTTGCTTAAGCAAATAAACATTTACTTCACTGATATTTTGGTAAGTTGATATCATTTTTGGAAGCTGTTGTTGGTTCTATTAGTTATCTAAGTACTTAAAAAATCTCAAACGCTTATCAAAATTCTTTGATCAATATCCTTAAGTACCTAGTTCACACATAAATAATCAAATAATTGTTTTCAGGATAATGTTGCACAATCTTTGGTTGAAGTGCCCGAGACTCCAAAATCTGCCCTTGAAGTACCAAAAATCAAACTGCAATTAAGAGCAGTTAATAGAATTAATAACACAAATGGTGTTGACTCAAACTCCAATTAAATTGTTATGTAGATTTAGACATAGTTTTAGGTAGATATGCCAACGTATTATCTTACTTTTTAGACACTAGTTCTTGTAATGGTTAATTAAGGTAAAAATACATTGACGTTGAATTGTTTATTTAAATAAGTTTACATCGTAGTCCATATATTATTCATAATAATAAATAAAAACTACTTAGAATATATTATTAAGCAATCTTTTTTTCAACTTTAAATAAAATGCGATTAGGCTTTGCTTCGTGTCTTTATTTGCTGTTTGAGAAATAAAAGAAGTGTTTCAATTTGTGTAAAATCTATTCATTCGATAATTACAGTAAAAAAATAAATAAAAAGACATTCTTTCCTAACATTAACACAATACAAAGATCTCTAAAAACGTAGAAACTGATATGGCCTTCAGTAATGTGTCGTTAACACTAATTAAAAAACTTGCTGATTAATTTAAAAATTAAATAGTTACGTCACAAATCGAATAACAGTGAATACAATTGGATGTGTCTACTCAGTATTCAGGTAACGGTACGTAACTTTAAATAGAAAGTTTGTAGATATCACTTTTCCTAAAGTAGAAAAACTGTCTTGATTCAGAAAGAACCGCCAATGTAACACAAAGTAGAAAAAAATCGATAAAAACCGTATTTACATAGCAGTCCCTTCATAAATCACTATTGTCATCACTTTCACACTAGTCACAGATATTTCAACTTAAATCTAAATTAGTTCGGCTACATATTCAGGTTGTCCAGTCTGATTAATCGTCAGTTCGGAACCTTTAAATCTTGTCCTATATGAGCCATAATCATCGTTGCTGATTCTTTCTGGTACTTGGAAAGTGGAGCCCTGGAAGCCCATGGCAGCCTCATAAAACTAAACAAAAATTATTAATCGAAAAAAAAAGAGACAAGTATTTACGTTTGGGGCCCCTCGTAGAGAGCTATGCGAACTGTCAGTCTGGTGTGGCACTCCTGATAAAGTTGCATAATCGGCCAAATCATCGGCTAGTGATCTTGACGCAATGTGAGCCGAACCACGCCGATTTGGGTGTTGTATAGTGGCGTAAGTGTTATCATCCTGTAATAAAACAATAAAGAAAAGTACTCCTTACCGCATTAGGTACTCACAGGTAAAAAATCATCACTGTTTCTTCGCCCCAAAACGTTCTGTTCGGGCTCATTAAACACTTGCATTGTCAATTCTTGTTCCTCGTATATTTTTAGTTTCCTTTAAAAACATTGTGAACAAATTGAAAATCAAGTAATAATTACTTACTGTTCGATCCATAAAGGATTTTCGGTTGTGTTCAAATCATCAATTATGGCTTTTTTAATCAAAGCGTCTTTCTTTTTAAGATCAGTAGGTGAAATAACCCAATGCCTCAAACAACAACAAACAATTATAAATGTGATAACACCAACAAAAAGAACTATGAGAAGGGCAATAAGAGCCGCTAAGGCGGGGTCAAATGACTCTTCCTTCTCCATTACGAAAGCGGGAACTACATTTTCAATAGCAAAACCGGCGTAATAATCTTTCAAGAAGTCGTATTTCGAATCTATGATTTTAAGTACATCAGGGACGGGTAAAATATGTTGGGTAACAGGGTCAACTACTAAAATATACATATCAGACCTGAAAAAAATACTATTATTTCTTTCAATACATAAATTAAACTACACACCATTCCTCATTTTTATACCCATTGTCATCTGTGTGATATCTAATTTCGTCAATTATGACAAGACTTTGAGTCGCATTGCTCAATTCGGCTACAATTTCGTCTCTTTCTCTTACAACTTCGTCGGAAGGTCGTGATAAAATGACTCGAATTAATTGCTCAGGTTCAAATATCCACACCTGGAATTTAACAAATAAAAATTTTTTTTGAGGGAATTAAAACTTTACATGGACTTGTGTGTATGCTTCTCGTTCCGGGAACGCATTCTCTCGCGCAATTATATCAACAACAAATCGGTGTTGATTATTTTCAGCCAAATAATTGGCCGTGCAAATCTCGCCCTTATCTGTGATGTTGAAAGGTGAAGGTATGATCGATCCCGAGCTTTTATTAGATCCGTATTTATACAAATTCGATGCTTTAATATAATACGTCAGAGAGCCATTTGGGCCTAAATCTGGATCAAACGCAGTTACATTTGATACAAAGTCGTTGATTTCGGCCATTGCATTCACAGCTGAGTAATAAATAGGTTTTTCAAATACAGGAATATTGTCATTTAGGTCATTTATTGTCACTATAATTTTAGCTATGCTGCTGTCGTGGATTATATCCGCATCGTCTAACTTTTCCTTGTCTTCTGGTGAAATATAATAATCTGCATCATTAGTTGCGAGGATGTACAAATTGTACTCGTCTTGACTTTCTCGATCGAATGATTTATTAGTGTATAAATAGCCCTCAGTCTTGTCAAGTCGAAAATCACCATTTTCGTTACCTTTCAAGAAGTAGTAGTAGACTTTAGCATGATTTCCTTCGTCTCTATCCAAAGCTTTGACTTGTCCTGAAATGATGTGAATCGTTTTTCAAACATGACGTGTTTAGTGTATTTACCAATTCTGACACCACTTTTATCATTTTCGGTCACGTAAAAGTGGTAAGGATTTGCTGAATGCGAATCCGGAAATTCCGGCCGGTTGTCATTCGTATCCACTAAAAGAATTGTTAAATATCGTAAAGTCTCAAACCATTTGGGCGATCCGTGATCTCTTGCAACTAAAATTAGCTAGAACGATTTATTTATTTAAAAAATGTCAACAGTGCAAAAACTATTACTTCATATTTGGATGTTTCCTCCCGGTCTAAAAATTTTTTACTCCTTAATTCTCCAGTGTTAGCATCTATAGTAAATTCGTTCGTTTCTTGGACGTTGTCCCCGTCAACTTTCAGATGATATGTAATTCTACCATTTTCGTTGGCGTCTTTATCAGTTGCTTTGACTGTCATGACTAGATAATTTTCAACAGCAGCGTTCTAAAATATTGGTCAGGTTTACCCAAAAAAGTATTTCTCCTCCCTACCTCTGTTATTTCAACTGTGGCGTTGGGAAGAAATGGTATAATAAAGTCAGGTCGATGTTCGTTCACATTCAGAACCTGTACATTTATAACCGCACGGTCAAATAATTGACCGTTTCCTCCCCCATCCCTTGCTTCTATGATAAGATGAAAGTTTCTTTTTTGGCCTAAGAGAGATTTATGCGGGTAGAGGATTCCTGTTTCAACCCCGAGTAAAAATACGTCTGCAACATCAAATTGAAACATTTTATTTATTTAATACTCAATTTTAAGTTTTAATTAAGTGACGGAGGATATGACACGGGTGAAAAAAGGCTCATGCAATTTTAATTCTGTCAGATCCTTGGTTTCAGATTCGGCGTAAAAAATCCAATTACAGTGGTATTTTTATAAGAATAGACTTACCGTTGTCGTTTCCTCCAATAATATCATAATGAATGTTTCCGTTAATGCCACTATCTTCATCAGTGGCATTTACTTGCAATAATGGTTGTGGAGGGTTCAGTCTCACGTTTTCTATTACGGTCACGTTATATTCGCTTTGATTAAATTTAGGCGCATTATCGTTAACATCCAAGATGTTAATATTAACAGGCACCGTGACCGATCTTTTAAAATTATGTGGGGCCCCATCACTCGCCACAACCTGAATCACCGTTTCGTTGATCTTTTCATGATCCAAGAAATTCGAATTGGCTACGCTGATAACCCCCGTATCCGGTGTTATTTCGAAATTCTCACTATGCTCTCCCGTCAATTCATAATTTAGTTTTCCGTAATCCCCGGAGTCGGCATCTGTCGCTTTAACTTTCACGACAAAAGTACCGTTCGGCGAGTTTTCATAGATGCTCGCTTTATAATTTTTTTCCGAGAAAATAGGATCGTTGTCGTTGAGATTTATAACTTTGACAAACACAGTCGCCGAAGTATTTAGTTGGGGAATACCGGAATCGAAAGCGAGGATTGTGAAATTTAGTTGCGGCGTTTTTTCATAGTCAATTTGTTTCTTAATCTGGACTATTCCAGTGCCGTTGTTGATTTCGAAATTTTCATTTTCAGGGAGAATAGCGTAACCGGCGATGTCTGAACCATCATCGATCGCTTTGTAAGTTGCAACAATCGTTCCAACGGGTTGTTCTTCTTTTAGTTCGAGAGTATAAATAGGGGTTTCTGGAGTCCAAGGAGGCAAAAACACCGGTGGTGAGTCGTTTACGTCGGTGATCGTGATGATCAATAAGCCTGCAAGTATATCGAAGGAGAGACATCAAAACTTTTGACGAGCAAAAAAGAGCTATTTTTCATAGAGATAGTGGACCCTCTTTCCAAGGAAAACCGAGAGAGATAATATTTCTAGTTAAATTTTGGTTGAAGAGAAATGAAAAATAAATAGCTTTCATATATGCCAATAATACATTTTTATTTATTACATAGCATAATTAACCACCTGTTACTCGTGTAAATAATTATAAATTAACGCTTTATCTAATTAATCTAATGATGATATTCATAAATAATACTCATGTTATTATTTTAAAATGGATGCTCTTATCAGTTTATCAAAAATGAGTTATTTACACAAACAGGTTTGTAATTTTATGAACCCTGTAGAATGAAACTCAATTTTTTTTTAAGTGTAATTAGACAATAAATTTTAACCAGTGTTTCTAGAGCTACCTTAAAAATATAAATTCATTAAAATAGATGCATTTTGAAAATTATTAACTCCAAAAGATACTGAGTTTTCTTTTGAAAAAAAAAGGATTTCCTGACTTACTTGGTGAATAATTAATTATCTGTTATTATAAACTCAGAGTAGGTTTAGAGGGTGAATTAAAAATTAATTCGCGATTAACCCGTGAATCTGTGCATCTGGTTAGTTCAATTTGGTCACATGATTAGTTAATCTGACCTTTGATAGCAATTAACTTAATAATCCGACCCTTAGTTTAATAAAAAATATTCCGAACCAAAATCAAATTATATCTGCATGGTTTTGCTTTACCTTCTCCTTGTTGCACCGTTGGAGCCGTAATATCCGTCACCAGAACTGTAATCCTGATGATCGCCGCGACGTCCCTTTGAAGTTTATTCAATACCGTAACTTTTCCGGTAGTTTTATCGACCGAAAAAAAGCTACGAAAAACATCATCATTAAAAACTTCATTCCCATGCTTATCCAAAGCCGTAATAGGTTCAGTCGCAGCGAAATTCAAAGCTTCCGTCGAGTTAACATCGGGATCTAAGGCGATTAGTGTATGAACTACAGTTCCGACTGGAGCATCTTCCATAATCTGTAAACCAATAATGAGCGAATGTTGTATAATAGGTAAACTCGCATTACTTCAGCTTTTTGTGTAGTTGGTACAAAATATGGCATTTTGTCGTTTGTATTGATAATGTTTGCAGTCAGAGTTGTGGTTCCAGTGAGAGCAGGTTCTCCGTGATCTCTCGCTATAATTTCAATATTGTAAGTATTTCGTCGATCGAAATCCAGTTTGGATGAGACCACAATAACACCTGTTGTGTTATCAATTTGAAAGTCGTCGTAAGCTCCCTTTTGAATGTAGTATTCGATTTCGGCGTTTGATCCCGTATCCATATCATTAGCTTGCAATTGGATGATGCTTGATCCTAATGGAAAATATATATAACACAGAGAACAACTCGAGCGTAAATTTTACCAATGGAGACATCTTCACCTATAGCAACAACGTAATTCTCTTTCGTAAAGATGGGATGGTTGTTATTGACGTCTCTTATAGTGATGTTAACTAGGGATGTAGTTGTAAAAGTACCATCACTTGCCTTTAATCCGAGTTAAATGTAAGCAAAAGCTCGGTAGTGCATACGAGAGACTTACCATTACAGTCAATAAAATAACGTTTTCGGTGTCGTTACTAACGTCAACTCCTTTACTGTTTGAAATTCTGATTTTGCCCAAATTGGGTTCGATGCTAAACAAGCCTTCATTGTTGCCGGAAATAATCGAATAAGTAACATGAGACGTTTTGTCGGCATCTACTGCTTCGATTATAAGATCCGGATCGAACCTAACGGCCCCCTCGTTAATAAAAGCCCGATATATCGATTGGGTGAATACGGGAGCGTTGTCATTATTATCAGTGAGGAGGATTTTTAAAGGCACTTTCGTGGTTTGGCCCTTACCATCGTCGTCCGTCGCCTTATAGAAAACCGTTAAATGTGAACATTTTCACGTGTAACTACTCACGATAAACTGCAAATGATATTCCGCCTTGTCCTCGAAATCCAGACACGGTTTCTTCCCGGGATGATCACAGTCGGCGACAGCAACGGTCCCCGTCCTGTTGTGAACAACAAACCGTTCGCTACCGCTGCCTGAAATATGGTAAAAAATGCCGTCTTCGCCAAACTTCCCGCTGTCTCTATCGCGAGCTGTTATTGTTATTATTGGAGTTCCAGGCGAAGAGACTTCCGAAATTGCCGTCGAGTATCCGTCTTGATCGAAAGTTGGGGCATTATCGTTAATATCGGTCACTGAGACCGTGACAGTGGCCGTGGACGACAATTTTTCCTCAGTGTAGAGTTCCTTGGCCAAAGCCAAGATGATGAATTTTCTCTGATTCAAGTCTTCATAATCCAGCGAACTGTTGGCGACCCGGATTGTGACGGCGGATGTACCGATCACCGTTTTCGGTTCGATTGAAAATGCAGACGATATGTCGTTTAGTTGTAAAGAAAAAACCGAATTGTTTCCCTGAGGAAGAAAAGTCAAATCTTTTCGCACAAATCTAATCGACTTACTTCGTCTGGATCGGTTACTATCATTTCTAAGCCTGGCAAAGGTGAACCTTCGGAGATATTCTCGGGAATTTGGACGAAGTATTCGCGTTTGTTGAATGTTGGTGGTTCGTCATTCACGTCTTTAATTTTTATTAGCACTTCGGCGTTTGTCACAGTCGACGGATCAGTGCCTTTAATTCCGTCAACGAGCTCGTGAGCCTTCGAAAATTATATTATACAAGAAATTTCAATACTCTTACTATTTAAAAAATACAAAGCAGGTTTTGCACATTCGCAAACTATGTGAATCAAATGTTTAAATTTATCTAAATTTATGTATATATTGACATAGGCATATTACAAAAGTTTTCACGTAAAAAAGCATATTTTTAAAAATCTTTGTTGCCTAAAATAAAATACTTACTAAAACGCTGCAATAGGAGTGCAGTCTCTAAAAGATTTAATCAACACAAATTTATTTTATGTTCCAAAATTCAAAATGTGTTTTATCCAAGTTTTTTAAAAGAACATTCTGTACTTAGTTTTGTTTTTGAAATTATACAAATATTAGCTTTTGTTTGCAAAATATAAATACTCATATTTTGCTTTTCTACAAAAACCACTTGTTTATAGAAGATTAAAAGTATACATTTTATTTACCAAACAAAATTATTCTCAGTTCGGTACTAGAAATAAATAACAAATTAACTATTTTGTAAATAAGCTTTTATTTATTTATCTCATATACTGCTAATCTTATCAATTAATTTAGTATTTTAATTTTCTCTACTTGTTTAATATTTTTTAAATTGGAATGTGAGTATTTCCGTATCATAACTAATAGTAATAATTATTATATAAGATAATGTTAGTGCAATTTTTTATTAATTACTTTGAACGATTTCAGGTCCAAAAAATGCAACTTTTTGTCTAAATTATGAGATATTGAATGTATCTAATTACTTTGAAATTATAGATTTAACAAAGCTTTATGAAATTCAATTAATAAAGACTTAACAGTATTTAATAATGAATAATATTGAAATGTAATATTACCAATATTTTCACTCAAAGCAAAGGCCATTGATTTGTATTATTATAAATTAAATCAGCTTAAATATTGAATAAAATATCATTTCTATAAGTTTATTAACAATCATTTTGTACTAAAAAGTACAAAATAATTGTTACATTAATTAAATGAAACCTTTTCATCTCAATAAGTAACTTTCAATATTATTTTCCATATTGTGCACATAAAGAGTGCTTTATTAGTTTCAATTTAAAATTTAAAAGGGGTTTGCTAGTGTCAGCTATAAATTACCTTAACGTTAAGAGTTAATATGCCTTCTGGATTATCGACGGCTTCCTTATCCAAGGGTCTAGCAGTCCGCAACTCTCCGGTAACAGCGTCCAAAATAAAATAATCCATAGGATCTAAACCAGACAAATACATTTTAAACTAAATTAAATTATTTCAAGACATACTATTAATGAGTTCATAAACGATCTTCCTTGGAACCCCTCTATCTCCGTCTTCTGCATGGATCGTCATGACCAGACTGTTAATAGTCGCGTTTTCACTTACTTCCGCGACTAAGTTACCGATGAAACGAGGCGGAGTGTCTTGAACATCCCCAATGTTAACAGTAACGCTCGTACTACTACTCAGCTCTCCATCCTAAAGAAAGTTTAAAATCAAAACTTTACAAATTACCACTTTTAATGCTTTATAATACAGTGGCCTTTAGCAGAAATTGATGTTTGTCTTGTAGTGTGTAGTTGAGTTTCCTTCTTAAAACTATAGCACCATGGTAGGAATCCTGGGCCGACTGGAGTGTCTCTACTTCAAAAATTTCACAAGCGTTTTGATATTCAGGCAACTTGATGCATTCTACTTCTAAATTGGCACCGGTTGTGTCCTTGTCTTCGACGAGGATTTTCGAGAAAATTGTTGTACCTATTATAGTATCTTCGTGTGCGAGGATATCGTAAGGTGCCTAAAATTCGTTTAAATAAATCACATAACGAAAAATTCTCTCACTCACATCTATAAAATCCGGAGCATTGTCATTCTCATCTAAGATAATAATATTGGCAGGAACTGAAACCATGTTATTTCTGCCACCTTCAACTTCATCCTCAATACTCACAATCACGTTTAAAGTGGAATTTGTCTGAATTAAAATAAAAATGGAATTATAACGAAAAAGGTGTTAATCTACACACCTCATAATCCAGAGGTTTAACAACAGTAACTGCTCCAGTGTTGCGATTAACTTTTAAAACGTCAGTTCCTTCGAGATTAAAATGTACACTACTATTCTCTGGATCTGATCCTTCTAAAGTATAAACAACGCTACCTACTGGAGTTCTTTCTGATAAGGCTAAATTGTTTATGTCCATCGAGAACACGGGGGGTAAGTTGGCACTGCATCCTAAAATTGCAAAAAAACTTGATTGTTTAAATCACCCTGTATCTAGATAATGAAACACAAAATTCTTGACCAATTGGCAGAACTAATTACAACTGTTTGCGTATATTTGTCTGGTATAAAAACGCTTTAAAGTAATTAACTAATTAGATATACCAGCAGAGTTGAGCTGGCTGGAGTAACAAAGATAATTCCCAAAAACGCAATGAAAACAAAACGGAATTTGTGTTGGCAAAAAGATATCTAAAACTTTATTAATTATTATTACCAACACACTGCATCACAGCTGTGGCAAAAACTTCGTTGTCCGGTGCTTTTCAGGATTTTCCGGCAATGAAATAATTTCTAGTTCCGCAAATTTATAAAAATTACCGGTAATTGAGTTTTTTGAATGCATTCTGTCTGTAACAAAATTTGGAAACATCGCGTCAAGAATCATTAACTCGCCTCGTTACAAGAGAGAAGAGTAATTATTAAACTACACACCCGCGAAATGGGCGCAGTGGGGTTAGTTGAGTTAGAGATGTTTTCGGAGTTTACAACAAATGGAAGTTAATTAGAGGAATGTAAAATCGATTTTATTATGCGTTTAAAATGTAAAAAGCCGAATCTCAGAGGTAAACTCAGAGAAGAGTAAATTTAACCATTTTTTTCTTCTAATTAATTAAAATTGTTTACTTCATCATTTTTTGTTAATTAATTTGTAACAAGCTCCCCGAGCTATCAATTTATCCAATTGTTCTCAACGTATCAGTGCCGTTGTTAACAATACAACAGACAAGTAATAAATAGCGGTCGACAGAATCGACTGGATGACTTCCTCGATGATTACATCAAGCGATAGGAACACCACCGACAACGTCTCGAATCTAACAAAGACAAACTCAGGACGGCATGTCAAGCAGGATGGCAAGCAGGTCAGCCGGAACAACAAGCAGCAGGATTATAGCACCACACTCACCGGGATTACATTACTGATACTGTTGATGGAGGGGGGGCGGCGGAAGTCGAGAGGACTGAATACAAATGCACAGCTTTACTGGCGACCGGTAACGACTTCACTTCCTGCTGATGCCGCTACCTTCGCTGCTGCTTACACTAATTGAAGAGAAAAACGTACCCTATCTCGGAACCAATTCTATTGCTGTTTTTCGAAAAGAAAAGCCAGGATATTTTTTCATAGATTGTTTTAAAGGGCAAATGCTTCGAAAATGGAAAGTATTTTATTCGGCAAATCGTCGGTTCCTTTTAGTGTCTAAGTTCTGCGTTTCCGAAAAGCACATTTGAACGATTTACACTTTAGTCTTAATTTTCTAGAGTGGTAAGTAAGGTCGGAATGGCGTTTCGACTTTTTTCTCAAATAACAAAAAGCATTATTTGTTGATTTTGTCAGCCAAGATATAGTAAAAACTTAAGGTTACATGCTTGTTACTGTAATATGCAACATCATGGTTCAAAATACGGAACAATAATTTAGTAATGGCATAATAAATGTACACGTAGATTCAGAAAATGGTAAAATATTTAAATCACATCTTTGTTTGAAAGTCGACACGTGTTTCGACAACTACGTTAACACAGTCAGATCAAAAATAAAATAGCCAACAAGAAATAATTGAACTTGAACCAATTATACGTTATACGTAGCAGTAGTTTTACTTTTCCGTATTTTAAACTAGGAGTACGTTATTAACATTATTTACACTTTATAAGATTGTAAGGTAGTTTAAAAGAAAAGTCAAGAGTGTGCGAACAATGAAAAACAAATCTTCTTTATTATTTTTCGTAATAAAGGTAGAAATAAGTATGAGAATTTTTATGAGATTATTTATCGTAAATACTTCAAATGAAATGGTTTCATTTTAAATGATAGACAGAAATATGTTTTTGGACAAACACGCATTTACATGTTTAAAAAGTGTTTATATCTGCAAAGTCTTGTTTTCATTGTTTAGCATAAATAGGAAATGAAATTGTGACGAGTCATAGCATACGAGTAAGTTTACGCGCTTTCGCACCGTGTGGTAAGGACAAAAAGAGCAATCGATATGACGTTAGAGAAGTGAAACCATCTTAATCTTACTAACATCCTCCCCCAACACATGGTATCACAGATAATCCGACTTCACGGTTATAGAAACGGAGATTGTTGTAGTAATGATTTCATTAGAAAATTAATTTGTTATTTATTTTTGCGCGAGTCAGCCAAGTGAAACTGTGTTGTGATTGTTAACTATATAAATTATAATGATATTTGTGATTATAAGGTGTCAAATTCAGTTTCAGTAATTTTGTGAAAAGTTTTGTATTGGAAACTGTAATTTGTAATCACCATGCATGGAGTTTGTCAGCGGCGTTTAGAGTTTATCGATTACATTTAAAATTCATGAGAAGTGTTTTACATCAATATATGCATGATAGAAATAAATATTTGCGTAAAATTTATGCATGGAATTTCGATTTGCGGCACAATAATATTCCATTTCTCGTCCTCAGATTAAAAATCGTGCTATCACAACTCATTCCGCGAGTCTTACACGACACGGAATGAAATTACAAGTATAAAAATTAAATTCAAATCTTCGATGAGTAAAATTGCTGTAAAACAAGGCTCGTGATTTATGATGCAATTCTCAGCAGTGCAATAACGAAAGCAGATGAATGCCGCGACATTTTTATCTTCACTCTTCAAATTACAACAACGTTAGGGAGTCGTATTTTATTCACGATTTGTATACTTAGATGAAAATATGATGGTAAAAAACGTGGACGACGTCAAGTCGTCGAGCACAAAAGAAGTGTGGTGAGATTAAAGTTGCTTTCTGCAACGTACACAAAACTGGAATTTATAGTCTGCAGAATCCGCTCTACATTATTGGCCGGCAGATGGAAACTTCTGACGGAGGTAGATATTTGCTTTGCCTGTCGAATACATCTGTTCTCCATTAAGCCGCTGAAATATTTTCTTTTTTCGCCAGGTTAACACAACATATTGAAAACTTTGTTGTCTATATGGAATTAGCTAACTTGGATCTAACTTCGAAGTGCTTCTTTGAATTTATATTGATGATAAGTATTCCTCCGGCGGCGGCCGAACTCGTGCCACCAACACCGAAAGCGAATCCACACAATTATTTTTCAGTGTTTCCCAAAAATGGTTCTGTAGTTGAATTTTATTGTAATAATTTTATTACTTTATAATTATTCTAGACGAAATTCTAAATAACCTGACAAACATTTCAGGAATAAAACCTGGTAATAATAAGGTAGGTTAAAACAACTAGATTGAAAACTAAGTTATAACTCAGAACTTTGTACTAGTTTTTTGTTAAAAGGGATTTTCAAAACTCTACAAAATGTAGCTATTTCGTTTGATCCTGTAGCAAATTATGAAACACACCGTTAAAATTTACGTTTCGTAACAGAAACTTCGTTTTATAACCCACTACATTTTATTCAGATCGCTTGTTTGCTATTTCGTTCAACTGCGGAATTTTTATATGGCTTCGTATTATTATCCTTCAGAAGAAACTGAATCATTTGAAACAAACATTAAAGAATAAAATTCAAGTATACAAAGTCACTATACAATTTTAAGGAAAAAATAAAAAAACATCATGCTCAAATCAATATGAAACCTGAAAATATCGTTACAAAATTGTTCAAAGGTTTCCAACCACAAAAGAAAAGATTTTATTATTTAAAAATTTGTAAGGCAAACTGAAGATAAAATTTATATTAAACTCGAAGCCACACTTCTAAAGACAAATTTTAATTAAGGAATTATCAAAATATTATTCTAATTTTTTGCGTAGGTTTTTATTATCAAGAATTTATTTAGAAATGGCTGAAAGAGCAGTACCGCAGTAAAACCGGCGAAAATTTAAATGTGTGGAAACTGAATTAATTTAATCGTTTTTTCAGATAAGCGCAATGAAAGAGAGAAAAAAATTCCCTTCCGGGTGAAATTTCGTGTTCCTAATACCAAGACGCGTGTTATCGTAAAAAATCATAATAAATAAAGTTTTAAAAGGTCTCCGTATCCGCAAAGTGAAAATACATGTTCTTCAAACTGAAAAATATGTGAGGTATTAGTATTGATTTGCACATAAAATACATCAGGGACCGTAAGGCCTTATAAAAATATTTACTGCTCTAGTAAATCCACTGGACGAAAATTAAAGAAAACGTCACGATCGATCCGTTTCTGAAAAAGTTAATTGTAATGCTTTAGATAACAATCGGGAAATTAAATGGAAAGTGCTCGTTCAGTCCTAAAATTACGCGATAAAACCATGGTCGCCTGATTAATGTTAGTCGTTTAGTTAATCTGTTGAGGATGTTTCAATTGGTGAGAAAACATCGCCTTTATTTCCACTTCCCCGTTGAGAGAAATCGATGACTTCAAAAAATTAAGATATTCAGTTTTTGTGTTTCCCGACAAATTCCTTTTGGATACTTCCAAGCCGTTCAAACAGAACTAACATTCAAATACACTTTCTTACTTTTCAGCGATTTAAGCAAAGTATCGGCTCTTCAAGTTTCAGATGCACATTTTGTTCCTAAACTTTCGGTTTGATTTTTTAATGGAAATGTTGAAAGGGTTTCGTAGTCAGACGGCAAACATTAAAAAACACAGTCAATCCAGCAGATGAGAAATAGGAAACGACTTAGTCGAAGATTATGCAAATCGCCACGACGGTGTGTTAACTCCCTCCAATAACATTTAAGACCGAAATCTGTCTTTCCTTTAAACTTTTCCCCAAACAATGTAAATAAAGTGAAATGCATTCTATCAAGTAGGATCTCCCTAAGTACATGAATTATTTATTTTAATACTGCTGCTATTTATATTTTTCCACTTCGACGATTCGAGAAGAGCAATTCGATAATACAATCAAACTTGGAAATTAATTTCAAGGAACATGTTTTAATTTAATTAAGAAACTCTCAATTGCGTACTTAATTAAGAACTGGTTTTATTAATATTAAGACGTGATCAGTTTAAAGAAAATTTTTCAGCGCGGCATGAAAATATCGCAAGAATTTTTCATCATGTGTATTTGCATTCAACGCTGGGGCACATATTATACCAAACAAAGGAATGTGGTTGAAAGCACAGCGCCTGAAAAGGCGCAAGCTATCGTAAAAAAGAGTTTGTTGCAGCGTGAAATAATTCTGAATAAAAGCCATTTAGGTTCAGTATTTAAAGCGTTCGCATAATAAAAGATCGCATTTTAAGAAAAACTGTCATATGTAAAATGTAATATGTAAAATTAAAAGCGGGCTTTTGGTCTCACTGCATAATTTAATAACACTCAAAATTTGGAAGTTTTGCGAGTACTAAAATAATTCACTCGAGTAACATCATTCGATACAGTTAGCTTCCAGAATAAGGATGAGGCCTAAAGATACTCAAAACGAGCCTAAGGCTTTTCATGACATAAATGAATAAAGCTTGTAGCAAGTTTTAATTAATTTTAATTTCAAAGTTGAAAAGTAATTTAAAATCAGGTTGGAATACAGAATCTGATGCGTATTGGTATTTTTATTTAAGAGATAAAACCAAATTTAGATATCCCGCTTCAGAGTATAAATTATAATTGTCAGTTCTGACATCGATATAAAATTTAAAGCAAAAATCTGGAAATAAACCCTGTCGTATTTTATTTTAAATTTAATTAGGGAATATCAGAATTAATTTTCAGGTTGAAATAAAATAGAGTCCATGTTATTTTTTGCAGCATCATCAAAATACGAGATATAAAAGCTGTACAATGTCTTGAGTAAGCTTTCTTATTGTTAACGTTGACTCTCTTTTCCTGAACAAGTTCTGTCAATAAGCTCTCTCTACCTAATTTAATTTTTGTTTCTCTCTGTCGTAACTTTGCTTTCAAGAGACAATTTTAGAATTGTTTTAAATATTCTTAATGACTATTTAAAAATAATTCCTAAGGTGTTTAATAGCATTGACAAAAAAACTTAATTAAAATGCGAATGATTTATGACGGTGAGGGTTACTTGCGGTGTTATATTGACTATAATTTTTCCACTGAGACAGAGTTCAATTTATAAAGTTCAATGAACCACTTAAAGTGGATATTAAACTAAAAATTAGTACCTTGGGTGAAATAAGGTCTTTATCAAAGAAAATTCTAATAATGCTCTTCCGAAGTTTTCTGAAGACAAGAAAAAATTAAATTCTTCGCAAAGCGGCAAGAGTAATATCCCTGCGAAAATTCGTAACTATATGTTACTTTCACCAGGAAGTCTATACAAAGAACATAAATTACTTGAAGCAATTTCAGAAATAAAAATTCATAAGGTAGAAAAATCGGAAATTACCTGTATGCCGATATCTGCAAATCGCGTTTGCTGCCTCCACTCCATCATCATTTTGCCCACAGGAACGTCAATTTTCAAATAATAAATTATCGCATCGTGGAAAATTTACTCAGGAAAAAAGAGATTAACTTTAGGCATGGCCGTTAATTTTTGGATTATGGACACGGTTAAGTCCACCAGCTTTAAACTTTACGTGTTCTGGTAAAATATTGCTGGGATATGGTGAGTACTTAATACATCCAGGTTTACAAAATTACGACATGCTTGCTCGCACACCATCTACGGATCACAATCAATAGACAAACGCTTAAATTTTTATGTAGGCCATCCGTTTCCGGAAAGACAGCGAGATATATGAGATGCGACAAAAGATCTCATTTTTGCAAAAAGAATTTACAGTAAACGCACGTTTGTGACATGCACGTGACAGGTAAATGGTACTAAAGTTCAAAAGTAAAGGCAGACGAAATGAAAATTTATGATTTGCTCTAAATCGTAAGTTGCAACTTGTGTTTCACCATCGCTCGATATTTGACACTCTCTGTGGCAGCCAAAATGAGCCGAGAACAGGGTGTCACTCGCGAAACTAGATACAATTAAACTCAAATCAAACATACAAACCTGTATAGCAAACGAAAATTGTCCCAAAAAATATGGCAATACTGTTCGGTAGTGACTTCATCTTCCTGCAACAATAAAAGCACAATTAAATATAGAAAACATATTTTACATCGTTTCATTAAACCACAAGCCAGCAATTCATAAAAACAAGCAAAGTAAATTTCACATAAAACTCTTTTTTGACGTCAAAGGGGCTTTAAGAAAAAATTGAGAGAAAAATTATATTTAACTACATAAAAGAATGAAGCTTATTAAAGATTTATAAAGAGTAACTGTAGAAATAAAGAACTAAAAACATTTTTTTGTGTGAAAACTTCGTCAAAAAATACACTGGAAAAAATTATACCGACAAACTGTTTTTTACAACAGAAAATGCAACAAAAAAAAAAAACAAATTAACAAAATATTGACCAGGTGTCCAAGCTGAAATTTTTGCATCAATTTCATCTATTTATTAAAAAGCAAAAACTACACATTTCAAAAAAGTTTGACATTATTTAACATTATAATTTTGTTAAAATTTCTTAATATCATAAAAAGTGCAGAACGACACACTTCCGATACGCAAATAACAACAAGATTAAAGTTTGTAAAATCGAGGCAAAGTCGAAAATAATGTCAATCTTGACGCAAATAGTCTTATTTCGAGTATGCCTTTTGTATAGCAACATGCGTAAACATACGTTAACGGCTTGAACGGCCTAGGTTATTATCGTTATCATAACAATTTTGTATTATTTTAATTAATCCAAGAATTCTAAAAACTTCAGATTAAAAAAATAACATCAGTAAATTGTCCGTTTTTATCTGCAGATATAATCAATCAAACAACAATCAAATATCACAAAAATGTTTATACAGAACCGAAATAAACATACTGTATTTGGTGTATATATTCGTAGTAGATGCTTAGAAATTGTGCTAAAGTTCTGATTTTGGTTTTGTTACTTTACTTACATTGTTTTTTTTTCATCTTATTTCATAACAATTTTCAATAAATAAAAAAAGTAAAAATGTAGTTGGTGTATTGAGGGATAATATAAACTATAAACGTAATAAGCTCTTCTCCTACGCATTAACGTATGAAAAACCCTTAGTCTGAAAAAATGTAATGAAATACATCTAACACATCGGCTACAAAAAGTATTAATAATCCATAGTTATTAGCGGTTAAATGATCCGTAAAGCAACAAAGCATAAGGAATCAAAAGATCCATTTCTAACCATTGTACGCCTGTAATAAAAAGATATTAAATAAGTTTTGGATTACCGGAAATTTACTATTCGTAACCAGAGACCTCAGGCTTTTAACAAGCATATTTGTAACCAGAAGAAACGTCAAGCCAAGTGAGAATCAAGACCATAAAAGAGATGATGCAGACAATATGTAACGCCAAATTTAAAATATGCCCTCCTCGTTTTTAACGCGCTTACAATTTAAATCATGAGGGTGTGAACGAGACAGAAAGATAGAAGTTTAATCTAATCTTGACAGCTAAGGTGGTTGCGTTATTTATGGAGCATAACGTAAACATTAGGACATTTGTTTTAGTGTTGCAGGATTCTAGTTATCCCAAATGTCTCTTTTGTATTTACGTATTGCCAAATGAATCTTTCAAATTTATGAAGACGAACAGTTTTCGAAATTTATGGGAATTTTATGATAAGAAAACCATGTCGTCGGAATTTTTTAGTAGTAAAAGCTGGTCGATGATGTAGAAGCAACGCCCCTTTCATCCCTCCAAATTTATCATCATGTGTGCAACCGGAAAAAATGTTCTTTCTTATCGCAAAATTTGTTATAGAGTTTTCAGTGCATCTGACTCTACATTAACAAATGAAGGTCAAAAAAAGTCTCCCCAATCCTAATTTATCAAATTTAAATGTCAAGGGGAAGTGAATGCCTCCGCATAATAAGTAGTTTTTAAACGCAATGTAACAAGATCGAAAGAAACACTTTTTATTACAAAGTAGAGAATTTGTTATTTTAACTTAAGAGAGATTTGTACACTTTCAGATTCAGAGGTAATTAAATCACATTTTTGTGTTTGCTTAAATTATATCTGAAGCGCTCTCAAACAATTAGAGTAAAAACGTTGCATAGTTCAAAAGAGATTGAAGAAAAGTTAAACTTATGCAAGTTGATGAAAATCATTTTCGTTGCTTGAATCAGAATAGCCGACGAAAGAGGAAACCGTACCTGAAAGAACAAAATGAAGCATTCACAAAGAGAATAGTTAAAACACTTTGTATAAAATGAACTAATCAAAAGTTCAGAGATGGCTTCATTTTCAGTCCCTCTTATAACAGATAATGCCACCCCCACCCCAACGATAACTCGTCTTTCATGAAACACACGATGAGACGGAAAATCCCTGAAATTTAATTTTTTATTACTAATTCGTGCTATCACTTGCAGAAATTCATTTCTTCTAATTTGTTTTGGTGAAAATCGGTTTAAGCCCGAAACAATGATTCTCGAGAAAATTCCAATTTAATTTGCCAAACCAATGTTTTTCTTTAACATGAAACGCTCATTATTCTTCCAACCAAAAGTCTGTATGAAAAATACGTTTTACGGAATAAAACAGTATAATTTTATAAAAGATACAGCCCCAAATAAGAGCGTCAGCTATTTTCTAAAGCTCGTTTCATATATTTCCTGATACCTACTTACCAAAATGTCTATATCATAAAATACATGGAAAATAGCCTTATCCTGTAGTTTAGTAGAGCCGGAGAGATATAACCGGAATTGGTGTCTTTGCATACCAAAAACATCAAATAAAATTTTATTATTATACATACTTGTAGGTATGGATTATCCATTAGTTGCAATCTATCTAAATAAAAAAGTGTTCATTAAACAAAATTAGATTTGCATGTGTCAAAAAATGTTTCATTTATTTGTAATTGAATGAGTAAAATACGTCTAAAATACTCGTAATTTCACATTCATTAATGTAAATTTGCAAATATTTATCAGTAAAGCTTGCCGATTGCTGATATTTCATATCGCCCAATCCATCCATTGACCTAGCAAATAAAATGATAAATTTTCACATGATGAACGTATTCCAGAAGACTATTAATCACACCCTTCAAAAACAAGTGTGCGACTCCAACTGAGACACCACCGCTAGAGATCCGCCAAATGACTTAACTCATTTGGCATCAAGGAATAATGTTTTTAATATTGATGTATGATATTTCCCTCCCCCAAGATACAAATAAATCTTCATAGAATGGTAATTTAGTTCAAAAGTTTAATTTATTAAAGAACGGTTTTGCTTTAATCTGTGCCTTTTGGTGAGGTAAACGTTACGGTATTAAGGTTAAGTTGGAATTGTCTGATTACCTGCAACAACGTTATTCTCCATATTGATCGTAAAGTTGGCCAAAAGTTGGTGTGGGGAGTACAAGAAGTTTAAACGTGAAATCGCTTCGCCATTGTAACGATAAGGTAAAGCGAAATTAAAATCTATATTCGTAACAACTTTCCAGCTATCAGTACTCCTGTGAGATTTTCCGGAAGATAAGGCAGCAACTGAGATTATTAATTATTAGTATAAGTTCGCCGTTTAAATCGTAAACCAAAATGCGCCAAAGTTTTCCGCAGAGAAACGTGGCAAAACCCAACGACATGCTCCAATTAATCGGTAAGTTGACTTTTTTTAATTAAAGAAGATTGGTCAGTGGGAGAGACTTCATCGGCAACGGCAGCAGTTTTAGTGCTACGCACTCAGATCTTGAGATAGATTGTACCGGATATAAACCCGAACCCTCCCAACTAAGATAGCTGTCGATGGATATTGCTTTTCTTACCGACTGATGTTCTTTCGTATTTTTATTCCATCGTACTTGTGATTTTTCTCGTTCCTTTCAATATTTTTTCAAATCTGAAATTTTTCATTTGTGTTAGGGTCTACTCAACTGGGGAGATTTTCAAGAACGACAAAAGGTCGTGCCAAAGCATTTATTCGCATTATTAGGGAAATACGACCATCTAAAAGCTCAACGTCATGTGCTCAGTCTGTTTTTCCGGAAATCGAAAAAGAAACTAAAGCTCTGCCAAAAATTCATCATTTTAATGAGTCACCTTACTAAAGCTTCTTCATGTTTTGTATCACGCTTTTTTACCCAAACCATTACTAAATATGGCTAAAGTAATAAAAAACTTTAATTTCTTAAAGGTTACAGCAGAAACATCACTGGATGTTACTTTGAGATCGAAATTTTCCAATTTGTGCATGAGCTGCAGTAATCCAACACGCTACTTAGTTGATTGGATGGTGAATGTGACTTGAATCTGGTACTGATATATAATATTTCACATAAAACTTGAAATATTACTACACCTCACCTCCACCTACAACTTTTACGCGTCATTTTTCTAAAGCACAAATTTTATTTTTTGTACACGTGTAATTTTATACATGCTGTGTTGAAAATAATTCTGAAATTAAAAAGTATCCTCTCTCTTGTCTTTATTTTTTAGACAATTTTCGAAACAATAATATCGTTTCAATTATTCATGTCTGCATGGACAACTGCTTACAATGTAAATTTCATTTGTGAAAAACATCTGTAACTTAGCGTAACATTAGATAAAAGAAAAAAGAAAAGTAAATGAAGTGTGTTTATAATTTAAAAAATGTAACGTCGACGTCGTGACACTGAAAAAAGATGTATGCTGTATGTACACAAACAAATAGCTCCGTTAGAGCTAAAAAGTTCAGTCTTTACAAAATTTTAATATCTTACTTTCGCCTTTAAAATATTACCTTAAAGTACGCGAGGCACAGTTTCTGATCAATAGTTTTTAAACAAAAGTGTTACAACGTGGAAAAAAATCCACTCAAGTCACTAAATAATAAAACAAAATATTGTTTCAAACGTTTGAGAAATATTTTGTATTAAGGAAAGAATTTCACACATTTATGTTGGTAAGAGTGTCTACAAAGCACCGGTTGCGTGCCTTATTTGAAAAGATACACATGTGAAAAAAATTTACACAAACATGCCTCATTGAAACAAACCTTGGCTTAAGTGGGCCCAACAGCTC